TATGTTCAGTATAGAATGGAAAACGAGTATGTGTATGCAACAAATGTCAGTGCATCGAATCATACCGCATCGAACCGAATCGCATCGATTCGTTCTCTAATCAAACTGAATCACACAAATAATTTCTAACTGTGGTATCTAAATAACGATGCTAATTATGCTGTGAGGACAAGAAATCCGCTGACACTGTCCTTGATTATAATAGTTTATTATACCAAAGATTTCAGCGCCAATTTACAGACTCCTGCAGACATCTGGAGAACAACTGACCCAATCTCTAATATGTTGTCCCTCCCCGTCCTTTGTTTCAACCATGGTATTTATATCCTATGCCCTATGTAACATAATATAGGTGTTTTCCCATAAACCAATCCCAGGAGGCCACATAACAGACTTCCTCTAACACACCATTTGCAAACATCAGCAAAGTCATAAACTGTTTAGACACTACAAAACTAAAACGTATCGTTCCTGTATCGTATTGGAGCTCATGTATCCAGTAGTACTGGAGGTCGGTTTGGTTTTGGTTAGATTATAACAAAATAATCACGGTATTTCGGTTGTGATTATTTTTTTAAACATTAAATGCGCTATGCATTATGTGGGTTGAATGCTGTAACAACGCACATACCGAATCATCTTGAAGGGAAAGATGCACATCCATACTGCTTTACATAAACATTTATATAGTTGAGGATGGTTCTCTTTCCACTGGAGTCCAAAAGAGGTCGAAGGCAGGGAGTGAAAAAATCAATACAGTATGCATCTCTTTCAAAGACCCGGCCAAGGCAAGAAGGAGCTCATATTCATTTCCATAACAACTGGACCACAGCTGAAATATTAACATCCCATGTGCATACTTTTGCTGAAATTATAGTATTTTTATGGAAAATATCACCAGTTCAAATGTGACCTGTTTGTACAATCAAATCAAACGTTATGCAAAAATTCATTGCATAATTGAAAATATGTTGCAATAATTTATTCAGTGCGTAATAGATGCATTTTCTAAGCGACAATCTCTTGTGCTAATGACATATTTATAAATACGTATAACAAATATTTGCAGAGAAATTTCATACATTTACAGTTAGTGAGTGCATACATCATTTTTATATTTTTCTTACTGGCCCCCCGTGGGAATCGAACCCACAACCCTGGCATTGCAAACACCATGCTCTACCAAATGATCCCTGCCGGCCATTCCCTCACACCATAACACCTCCTCCTCTATGCTTTATTGTGGGAAATACACATGCAGAGATCATCCGTTCACCCACACCTCGTCTCACAAAGACACAGCGGTTGGAACCAAAAATCTCCAATTTGGACTCCAGACCAAAGGAACATTTCCACCGGTCTAATGTCCGTTGCTTGTGTTTCTTGGCCCAAGTAAGTCTCTTCTTCTTCTTATTGGTGTCCTTTAGTAGTGGTTTCTTTGCAGCAATTCGACCATGAAGGCCTGATTTACGCAATCTCCTCTGAACAGTTGATGTTGAGATGTGTCTGTTACTTGAACTCTGTGAAGCATTTATTTGGGCTGCAATTTCTGAGGCTTGTAACTCTAATGAACCTATCCTCTGCAGCAGAGGTAACTCTGAGTCTTCCATTCCTGTGGCGGTCCTCATGAGAGCCAGTTTCATCGTAGCGCTTGATGGTTTTTGCAACTGCACTTGAAGAAACGTTCAAAATTCTTGAAATGTTCCGTATTGACTGACCTTCATATCTTAAAGTAATGATGGACTGTCGTTTCTCTTTGCTTATTTGAGCTGTTCTTGCCATAATATGGACTTGGTCTTTTACCAAATAGGGCTATCTTCTGTATACCACCCCTACCTTGTCACAATACAACTGATTGGCTCAAACGCATTAAGACAGAAATAAATTCCACAAATTAACTTTTAAGAAGGCACACCTGTTAATTGAAATGCATTCCAGGTGACTACCTCATGAAGCTGGGCTCCCGAGTGGCGCAGCGGTCTAAGGCACTGCATCTCAGTGCTTGAGGCATCACTACAGACCCCCTGGATCGATGCCAGGCTGTATCACAACCGGCCGTGATTGGGAGTCCCGTAGGGCGGCGCACAATTGGCCCAGTGTCGTCCGGGTTTGGCCGGTGTAGGCCGTCATTGTAAATAAGAATTTGTTCTTAACTGATTTGCCTAGTTAAATAAAGGTACAATTTTAAAAAAGCTGGTTGAGAGAATGCCAAGAGCGTGCAAAGCTGTCATCAAGGCAAAGTGTGGCTACTTTGAAGAATCTCAAAAATATTTTGATTGGTTTAACACTTTTTTGGTTACTACATGATTCCATATGTGTTATTTCATAGTTTTGATGTCTTCACTATTATTCTACAAAGTAGAAAATTGTAAAAATAAAGAAAAACCCTTGAATGAGTAGGTGTGTCCAAACCTTTGACTGGTACTGTACATTTCATAATGTTCTTTCATTTGCAATCATCTTTAATTTATTGTGCATATTCTTTTAATTGTATATTGTGCATACCGATATGTCCTCATTTTTGTTTTAAATATTTACAATCCAGGCCATATGCGGCCTTCTCAACTGCCTTATATGCAAATATTCTGAATACTGTTAAGTCTTCGGTTGAAGAAATATGAGTGTATAGGACAGTCTGGTGTAGAACAACTATGGTCACTGCCATCAGTTATAACTGATATTCTACTTGAAACTGTGTGTGTCTTAACATTTTGATATTTCTCCTTTTCATTAATAACTGTTAACTGTTTTTAAATATTTGTTATGTTATATAACAGATGAAATGTTTGAAAATTGCTTATTAAACAATTGTTATTTGCAAATCTTTGTTGAACTCATTCATAATAAGCATTTTAACATGTAATAGGATAGAACTATGTTAACTAACTTATTGGCCCAACATTTGTTCAAGAATCAAGGAACTATGTCCTTTTGTCCTCAGAACAGCCACAATTAGTTGCGGAATGGATTCTAAAGGTGTCGAAAGCATTCCACAGGGATGCTAGCCCATGTTCACTCCAATGCTTCCCACGGTTGTGTCAAGTTGGCTGGATGTCCTTTGGGTGGTGGTCCATTCTTGATAAACACGGGAAACTGTTGAGTGTGAAAAACCCAGCAGCGTTGCAGTTCTTGACACACTCAAACCAGTGCGCCTGGCACCTACTACCATACCCCGTTCAAAGGCACTTAAATATTTTGTCTTGCCTATTCACCCTCTGAATGGTTTAAAAATCCTTATTTAAACTGTCTCCTCCTGGTCAGGCTATGTCATGTTCCTAATGCTTTGTACACTCAGTGTAAATGTATATATAAATAAGGATGTGAAAAGACAGTATATGAATAGAAGTGACCAGTGTTCAATGAATCTATGTACATAGGGCAGAAGTATCTAAGGTGCAGGGTAGAGTACTGGGTGGTAGCCAGCTAGAACAGTGACTAAGGCTAGTGGTGACGGTTTAACAGTCTGATGGCCTGGAGATAGAAGCTGTTTCTCAGTCTCTCAGTCCCAGCTTTGATGCACCTGTACTGTCTCCGCCTTCTAGATGGTAGCGGGGGGTGAACAGGCCTTGGCTCGGGTGGCTGAGGTCCTTGATGATCTTCTTGGCCTTCCTGTGACACCGGGTGCTGTAGATGTCCTGGAGGGAAGGCAGTGCCCCAGTGATGTGTTGGGCTGACCGCACCACCCTCTTGAGAGCCCTGCAGTTGCAGACTGTGCAATTGCCGTACCAGGCGTTGATACAGCCCGGCAGGATGCTTTCAATTGTGCATCTGTAGAAGTTTGTGAGGGTCTTGATGGCCAAGCCGAATTTCTTCAGCATCCTGAAGTTAAAAAGGCGCTGTTGCGCATTCTTCATCACATTGTCAGTGATGTGCACACCGAGGAACTTGAAGCTTTTGACCCTCTCCACTGCGGCCCAGTCGATGTGGATGGGGGCGTGCTCCCTCTGGTGTCTCCTGAAGTCCACGATCAGCTCCTTTGATTTGTTGATGTTGAGGGAGAGGTTATTTTGCTGGCACCACTCGGTCAGGGCTCTCACCTCCTCCCTGTAGGCTGTCTCATCATTGTTGGTAATCAGGCCTAACACTGTTGTGTAGTCAGCAAACTTGATGATTGAGTTGGAGACGTGCATGGCCACGCAGTCATGGGTGAACAGGGAGTACAGGAGGGGGCTGTGGGGACCCTGTGTTGAGGATCAGTGTGGCGGAGGTGTTGTTGCCTACCTTCACCACTTGGAGTCAGCCCGTCAGGAAGTCCAGGACCCAGTTGCACAGGGGGGGTTCAGACCCAGGGCCCTGAGCTTAGTGATGCGCTTGGAGGGCACTATGGTGTTGAAGGCTGAGCTGTAGTCAATGAACAGCTGTGACATAACTTAAAAGCTGTGCCCTTGCTGTACCCAACAAATCTTGAGGGTATCAATGTACCTGTAGCACGGCAGGGTGCACCCTGCAGGTCTCCAACAGCTCTGTCAGGTGCCTTTGTGAGTAGTTTGAGACCCCAATTGCTCTGAGCATCTCATTGGCATGGAGCTCCTCCATGACATTCCAGCTGTGGGCTTGATACTGTGTATCAAGCCCACATCTCCCGAGTGGCGCAGTGGTCTAAGGCACTGCATCGCAGTGCTAGCTGTGCCACTAGAGATCCTGGTTCGAATCCAGGCTCTGTCGTAGCCGGCCGCGACCGGGAGACCCATGGGGCGGCGCACAATTGGCCCAGCGTCGTCCAGGGTAGGGGAGGGAATGGCTGGCAGATAGGTAGCTCAGTTGGTAGAGCATGGCGTTTGCAACGCCAGGGTTGTGGGTTCGATTCCCACGGGGGGCCAGTATAAAAAATAAAATCAAAAAAATAATAATGTATGCACTCACTAACTGTAAGTCGCTCTGGATAAGAGCGTCTGCTAAATGACTAAAATGTAAATGTAATATATGTGTATTCTTCTCATCCTTTGGTTCCAGACCCTCATTCTCAGGCCAGTGGATCAGGTACAGGTCAATGTATCCCCCTAACCGCAGCCTCTCCAGGCTACGAGCACAGCCCTCTGCGACCATTGGGCCCATGTCCGCTGAGGACAGTTTAACGATGAGGAAGATATCAGTTTGTGCTTGGGCATCAGGTCCAACAGGGCACGGCCCAAGTCTGCTTCATTGCCGTACACTGTAGCAGTGTCAAAGGCACGATATCCAGCCCCGAGCGCAGCGTCAACACTCAGGTGCATTTGCTTGCCCTGCAGCTTGTATGTTCCTAGGCCCAGGAGGGGCATCTGAGCCCGTGTTCAGTCTGAAAGAGGGAAGTGAGGAAGACATCACCGCCAGATGAACGGGCTGGGGAGGACTGTGCTTTAAGATTTGTTTTGTTGACATTGTGGTTTACCAGAGAGGAAAAGTCGAAGCAAGATCTTTTTTTATTCCGCCCAAAATCTGTCCACGAAAATACGAAAATAAGCCCACGAAGTGAGGAATTTTTGTATGGAGGTCAATGAGTGTCGAATTTGGTAAACAAAAATTGTAATTCCTAATTTGCTACGTGAGGCTTATTTAATCTAATAAAAGTTTCATAATGGTTAGTTTGTTACAAATGCACTGATATAAGTGGAAACGTGGCATTTCGGCAACTTACCCAAAAACAACTTACCCTGTTATCATAAAGATAGATAGAGGACTCATCATGGATATAAGCCATTTTAGCATGGACATTGCCATTGAGGGCTTCCACCATTTTAAAGTTGTCAACTGGGTGGGGATTCCTATGAGTTGGGAGCAATCAGCCAATAGGCATGTTTCCATTGACCCAGGTTTGTTAGACAAAAGCAATGTCACTTAAAAATAATTGTGACATTTGTAATGGAAACGGCAGATGTAGGAGAACATTTCTAAAGATCTATTACATTTTTATCCATTTGACTGGTATTTCTATTATTTTAATCAATCTTGTCTCATCGCTGTAACTCCCCAATGGGCTCGGGAGGCAAAGATCGAGTCATGCGTCCTCTGAAACATGACCCGCCAAACCGCGCTTCTTAACACCCACCCGCTTAACCCGGAAGCCAGCCGCACCAATGTGTCGGAGGAAACACCCTTCAACTGCAGGTGCCTGGCCCCCCACAAGGAGTGGCTAGAGCGCGATGAGCCACCCGGCCAAACCCTCCCCTAACCCGGACAATTGTACGCCACCCTATGGGACTCCCGATCACAGCCGGTTATGATACAGCCCGGGTTCGAACCCGGGTCTGGAGTGACGCCTCTAGCACTGCAATGCAGTGCCTTAGACCGCTGCACCACTCCGGAGGCCCCTGTGGATATTTTTTTTCAACGTTTCTGTATTGCGACAGAATAAATTATGATTGCCGAACAGACTAATTTTGAAGGTACGCTGGGTATGTGATATTATCATGATGCCTAACTATAAAGCTCCATTCCCCATTTAATTCTAAATGCCTACTGCTTGCAAAATCCATGTACAGTTGAAGTCGGAAGTTTACATACACCTTAGCCAAATACATTTAAACTCAGTTTTTCACAATTCCTGACATTTAATCCTAGTAAAAATTCCCTGTCTTAGGTCAGTTAGGATCACCACTTTATTTTAAGAATGTGAAATGTCAGAATAATAGTAGAGATAATTATTTATTTCAGCTTTTATTTCTTTCATCACATTCCCAGTGGGTCAGAAGTTTACATACACTCAATTAGAATTTGGTAGCATTGCCTTTAAATTGTTTATCTTGGGTCAAACCTTTCGGGTAGCCTTCCACAAGCTTCCCATAATAAGTTGGGTGAATTTTGGGCCATTCCTCCTGACAGAGCTGGTGTAACTGAGTCAGGTTTGTAGGCCTCCTTGCTCACACACGCTTTTTCAGTTCTGCCCACACACTTTCTATAGGATTGAGGTCAGGGCTTTGTGATGGCCACTCCAATACCTTGACTTTGTTGTCCTTAAGCCATTTTGCCACAACTTTGGAAGTATGCTTGGGGTCATTGTCCATTTGGAAGACCCATTTGCGACCAAGCTTTAACTTCCTGACTGATGTCTTGAGATGTTGCTTCAATATATCCACATAATTGTCCTTCCTCACGATGCCATCTATTTTGTGAAGTGCACCAGTCCTTCCTGCAGCAAAGCACCCCCACAGCATGATGCTGCCACCCCCGTGCTTCACGGTTGAGATGGTGTTCTTCAGCTTGCAAGCGCCTCCTTTTTCCTCCAAACATAACGATGGTCATTATGGCCAAACAGTTCTATTTTTGTTTCATCAGACCAGAGGACATTTCTCCAAAAAGTACGATCATTGTCCCCATGTGCAGTTGCAAACCGTAGTCTGGCTATTTTATGGCTGTTTTGGAGCAGTGGCTTCTTCCTTGCTGAGCGGCCTTTCAGGTTATGTTGATATAGGACTCGTTTTACTGTGGATATAGATACTTTTGTACCTGTTTCCTCCAGCATCTTCACAAGGTCCTTTGCTGTTGTACTGGGATTGATTTGCACTTTTCGCACAAAAGTACGTTAATCTCTAGGAGAAAGAATGCGTCTCCTTCCTGAGCTGTATGACGGCTGCGTGGTCTCATGTTGTTTATACTTGCGCACTATTGTTTGTACAGATGAACGTGGTATCTTCAGGCATTTGGAAATTGCTCCCAAGGATGAACCAGACTTGTGGAGGTCTACAATTTTTTTTCTGAGGTCTTGGCTGATTTCTTTTGACTTTCCCATGATGTCAAGCAAAGAGGCACTGAGTTTGAAGGTAGGCCTTGAAATACATCCACAGGTACACCTCCAATTGACTCAAATTATGTCAATTAGCCTATCAGAAGCTTCTAAAGCCATGACATCATTTTCTGGAATTTTCCAAGCTGTTTAAAGGCACAGTCAACTTAGTGTATGTAAACTTCTGACCCACTGGAATTGTGATACAGTGAATTATAAGTGAAAAAATCTGTCTGTAAACAATTGTTGGAAAAATTACTTGTGTCATGCACAAAGTATGTCCTAACCGACTTTCCAAAACTATAGTTTGTTAACAAGAAATTTGTGGAGTAGTTGAAAAACTAGTTTTAATGACTCCAACGTAAGTGTATGTAAACTTCCGACTTCAACTGTATTTAACTATAAAAATAATGTTTCTTTCCATGACAAGGATTGTCTTGTCTTTCAAGAATGACTGAATTGCTTTACATTGGACCGTGGCAATAAATAGGCACATGAGAATTATTAGAATATGGCAAGTATTACTAAATTCTTGCATTCTACCCATGCTGGCTTTTGAGGGCAACATGAGACATGAAACAGATAGGTGGGCAGTTAAATGGAATCGCACCATAGCAGGCAATTGTCGCATCTATTTTCTTTGCGAACTTAAAAAAAAAAAAAAGCTAATGGGGAAGAAAATGTACTACTTTAAAATGGAGATAGCCTCAATTGTGCTGCCCATGCTGTCACCGATGCTATTATGGCACAAATACAAAGATGAGTGCTCTATCTATCTCTATGGCCTGTTCTTCACACGCGTATCTGACCTCTCATTGGCTAGAATGGTCTCACCTGATCCCGCCTGCCTTCCAACTTTGAGGACATTTCCATTGTTAGAGCGGTCATTCGAATATCTTGTCAATATAATAGACAATCTTTTGGTTTACCCACAAGTGTGAGACACTTAGAAGAAGAGGCCTCAGACTCCATTTACCTGGCTGGGATTGCCGGTCAATACTTCTACCACAACATTCATACCATGATGGAACACTTGAACTTGACAGGACATTGCTAGCGGTGGATGCTGGTGGGAGGCGCTATAGGAGGATGGGCTCATTGTAATTGCTGGAATTGAGTTAATGGAATGTTATCAAACACATAGAACATATGGAAACCACGTTTGACTCCATTCCAATTATTCCTTTCCAGCCATTACAATGAGCCTGTCCTCCTATAGCTCCTCTCACCAGCCTCCTCTGATTGCTAGCTACAAAAAACCAAACTGTATCACACATCATATCACAATTTTTGTTGCTCATACGTTTACCTTTCTTTAGAGACGCACAACTTACTTGAAGGATGACCACTTGTATGTTTACACAGGGCACACAAACATGTTGTAGCATCTGAGCAAGGTTGGCTACATTCCAAAAGTATTTAATGGGTTCCAAAGTTATTTGCTTCACACACTTCACCAGATGCACCGGGGACTCATTTCAGTAGTCAAAAGTGGCTTCCTTTCTCTCCTTCAACTTCTTCTGATCTAAAAATATAGACTGTATAAAAAGAACAAACACAGGCTAAGATCTTATGAATGAATGAGTTATTTCACTTTATTGCAGATGATCGAGTAGCCACATTTTATGATTAAATTGTTTCCTTTGCTTATCTCCTGGATAGGCTTTTACTTTTACTACCCAGATCCTTCCATCAGATATCAGAAATTCAAAACGGTCCTTTAAATATTCAGGTAATGCACCATACTGATATGCTATATAGGTGTTCCATCTTAACACACAGACACACACGATAAAGACAAGTCATGCCCAGCATTGGAAATCAATATAATTTATTGTACAGCCGATGACAGTAAAATAAGTCTTCAAAATGGCAGCTGTTAAAATTCCCTTAATGAAAAATTAAAGACTAATCGTTATGCTTAAATACTCACAAACCCTTAAATATACCATAAGGTATCGTACACTTTCAAACGCTTTAGACAGAATGGAAGAGGAAAAAGGGGTGAAAGAGGACAGTCTCTGATTCTAATCTATGTGCCTGAAAAGGGATCACATGGGCCAAATCCTAATTACTTTCCAATGTCCTTTGTCCTCATCCTCACATATATATCAAGTCCTTCAAGACCAGATCAGCAAGGACAGAGAAATGGGACATTTCAGACTTGATTGTTGACATAACTGAAAATGTGCACCATTGTGGGACCATGGATTAGACTGGGGAAGTGCACCATGGAGAGGTTGCAATGTTGCACACCATCAAAAGAAATAAATACTAAAACATTATCAGAAACCATGCTGAAGGCCCTGTATATCCTTACCTTAAATTTCAGTCCCTTCAGTTTTCCTGTCAAGCTCATTACACAACTTTTCACTTACCTTTTTCCGATGGATGAAACCTTCCATAGAATAACTTATGTACAAGATAAATTAAATAGCAGCAGGTAAGGGTTACAGTATGCCATGTCCTAGTCCTCTATTTGGAGAAAGGAAGTGACTAAACAAAAGGGAAAAGCCGTGTCAGGTCTTACACAAAAGTGAGTTTAGTCACAGTTTATCCCCATGTGGGGGGTTGTTTGTGGAGGTAGGATATATGAAAGATCCTGTATACACCAGACACCTTACCTTCCACTGACGTTTGACCTCCAAACACCTCAACACCATTGACATTGTTCTGAGCTACTCGCTTGACCACCAGTGAGGATGCTTTTTCCCCCCTTCAAGTCATATTTGGTTGTAGAAGGACACAAACCAATTCGATTAAACACTTTGTAACTGTCAATCACCTATTTGAGCAATAATTATTCCACTATCAAGTCGTAAAGATATAGTCAACTAAAAAATAAATGAAATGAAAAATCGACGGGATCAGAGGTCGAACATTTATTTAAGCGGCTAAATGACAACAGCGGCTGATCAAGACATTTGTTCATGTATTTCTTCTAATAAAAACAAGTAAAATTTGTCCAACGTTTAAACAACCGTAATGATTAATTCGGGAAGACATAGAAATAATAAATAGTCATTCAAAATAGCTCACGGTTTGTTCCGGCTTGATGTATTACAGAATTAACAGCATTTTAACATAAGCAAAATGCTGAGGAGTGCACAATCATGAAAGCCTATAGGCGTAGATTTCTCAATTATTTTATCTTGGATTACATCCATGTTATACAAAAACAAAAAGGACTTGTAGCTCTATGGACAGCGAGTGATTAGTTCATATGCATATTGTGAAATAGATATACAGGCTGTGTGACTCCAGCGGTGCAACGATTTTTCGGTGGTTATCTTTTTATTTAGTCGGTCAAGTCGATGAATCGGTCGTATCGGGTTTCGTTTCGGAGACGATGCTTTATCCTATGATGCTGCGTCGAACGTGGCAAGGCCTTCAGATGAGATGAGCTTGGTCAGCTGTTGCAGTGTGCTTGGTTAGTCAGTCAGCCAGTTTGCACACAACAAACACCTCAACCTTTGAATTGGGGTGAATGACAAAAACCTGAGTGAGAGGGGTTATTTTTAGGGGACTCACAAAACTTTGAAATCCTCAGGAAGAAAAGAAAAAAAAAAAGTCTTAGATAAAAGTGTATCAGGACTTGAAAGCAAAATAAATGTGATACACAAGTATGATATAAATAACTTACCACTGATTAATACATCTCAATTTCCCTTCAAACTGTCAAAAAAAAAACATAAATAGTTTTAGTCAGTCCCATCCACTCAATGTAGGGCTGGATTCCCCAATATGTGGCCCGCAGGCCAAATTCGGCCTGATTTTATTTGCCGATTTAGGAAATATGTTCCCAAGTATTCCTACGCTTAAAGTGGTATATGTGATCATATCCCAATGTAATCAAGGTTTGAAATTATTCTGTTTTTGTCAAATATTATCTCTGTTTTGGATTCTTGCGGTCAATTTGCAGTGTACAAATTATTTATAACTATGTTCCTGCCCTCCGACCATCCGCTCAAGGAAGAATCAGCCCACGGCTGAATGTAATTGGGGACCCCTATGTAGGGCCTACTACACAAAACACAATTCCTATACTACATCAAAAAATCCTAAACTCCTTCAAAAAATGATATTAATATTAACAGACATTCAGAGACACTAGCCTACCACCTCAAGTCTAAAAATCTGGCAACAATGAAACACTAATATAAATGCATTCAGACTGCTGATATGTCTGGCGATTATTCATGATAAACAAAAACGAGTCAAAATCAATTAAGTGTGCTGTTTGACTTTGATAAGTAAGCTTTATGAATTAACAGTATTGTTCCTATTACCCGTTTTCCTATATAATATACAATTGCGCCCAGCTTAAAAAACCGATGCACTCATTGCTAACACACTCATACACATCTTCCCCTAAATTCAATTTCAAAAAGTGCCCTTAGTAGCCCCTACCAAAACCATTGGAGTACTTCTCCTCAAAGTAATCATCCTTATCAAAGCCTGAGCCCAGAGCATAGCGCATAGAGGAAGGAGGGTGCACAGAGCTGCCACCGACAAAATCTCGCCCGGCACGACTTCGGGCATAGCTGCGTGCATAGCTGGCAGAGGAAGGTGGGGGTGGAGACAACATAGTGCAGCGGCTAGCCAGGGGGCTGCGCTCCCGGTAATAACGGGGAGAAAGTGGCCGCTGAGGGAGTGGGGGAAGCCGTCGCTCATAAGGATCCTGCTCATAGTAACGTGAAGAGGAAGAGTATGGGTCATGGCGGACAAGCCTCTCATATAGGTCACACTCGTAGTAGGCCCTAGGAGGGGGTGGGGGAAGGGGAGGAGGAAAGCGACCACGAGGTGGGTAGTAGTCACCGTGTGGAGCTCGAGGGGAGAGGTAGTGAGGAGTGTGGTGTGGGTGAGGTTGATAGTGGTGAGGTGGGGGAGGGTAGTCATCCCCTCTGCCATTTCTGGCTTGATTGTTGCGGGAGATGGATACAAAGATCTTTTGGCCCTCCAGTTTAGAGTGGTTTAACTTGGAAATGGCCTCATGGGCCTCATTTTCTCTCTGCATGTGCACAAAGGCAAAGTTCTTCACAATGTCACACTCAACCACCTTACCAAACGGCTGGAAGAGCTCTCTTATCTTAGCACCTGTGGTCCCCTCAGGGACATTCCCTACGTAGATCTTGGTGGCATTGCGGACCTTCGTAGTGGCAAACTCCACAGTGATGGGCGCCCCATTGAGCTCATGCTTATGGAGTTCTGCCACTGCCTTCTGGGCATCCTCCTCCTCATTCATGTGCACAAAGCCATAGTTTTTCAGAATGTCACAGTCCGATACCTGACCGTATTTCTCAAATAGAGTACGCAGTTCTGGTTCTGTGGTTGAGGAGTTCACGTTTCCAACAAATATCTTCACCATTTTAGTATGGTAGCTAACAAGGCACAGTCTTGGCTTAGCTGTTGCAGAGAAAGGGGTGTATCAAATGTAAATTAGGATTCCTGGAGAACACTTCTTCAACCGGTGACAGAGCAGCCTCTTCAGTGTCTAAAACCAAAATTAAGACGAGTTAGATAGCTATTAAGATCTCATTAGAATCGTTAGAGTAAATGGGAGTTCTCTGGCACACTCTGGGCTGTTAGGGGTTAACATTAGCTAGCTTGTTAGCTAGCAGCTTGTTGCAGCCAGGCTATGGTCAGAGCTGACAAGTATCTTTGCTAGGACAGTAGCTATTTGACTGATAGCAAGTTGCGAAAGGACTGACCAAATACCTTAGTAGATGTCGGCTACTGTAGCTAGAAAAATAATTTTGCTAGTGTATGTAAGGTTAGCGAGCTAGCTAACTAGCTAGCTAACAGAAAAGCTGTCAGCAGCAGGCTAGCTAGCAAGCTAACGACTTTATAGTAGATAGCTACATCAGATGTTTAACGTTAGCTAGCTACCTTTTGAGGTTGTACGACACAAATCGCCTTTGTTTAGTCTATTTCTGTACAAATGAACTTTAATCTCACCTTGCCAGTTAGGTTACGTAGCTAGCTATGTAACGGTATCGTCCTTGTACTTTGATGGCTTCTCAACAGCCCCACTTCGGTTTCCACTAGATAACACAGCTACAAAGTCAGAATGGTCTATATCGTAAAAAAATTATGAAAATTCAAATATGGTTTTTGGAATTAAATTTAGGTCTAGGCATAAGGTTAGCAGTGTGGTAAGAGTTAAGTTTCAAATTAGATTTTAATAAGATAAATTGTAGAAATGGGCGGGGTTTATGACTTTGTGGCTGTGGTATCTAGTGACTACACCTACTTCTCACTGACAGCAAATGGCGTGAGCCAGGCAGCAAGCCAGCTGGCTAACTGAAAGAGGAAGAGGAGTTTGTCGTGCTGCTGCGTACCAATACAGTTTGTGGCTTCCTTCCCGTAGGAGATTCTCCTCCCGTCCTCGGTGACACGGAAACCGATAAGTGGTATTCTTCTTATTTGGTATCATGGCGTCGTGTTGTTTGTGCATGGCCGATCAAGTTACATTTTGTGATAAAAAAATAATAAATTGCACCACCAACTAACCCTTCACCTATATACCATAATTGTATTTATTTTTTTACCCCACATTCCACTACTTTGACCCTAACTGATCCTACACCAGGCCAACGGCCTGGGAGGAAGGGTCTCTTTCTTTCAACACACCTTGTAACCAGTGGCGGCTCCTGAAAAAATTCTCAGGAGGGGCAATTTTTCTGATGATTTAGGTGACCTACACACATTTAAAAAAAGATATGTCCAGCAACAACATGAAGACAGGGGCAGCATATAAGTCAATACCAGAAGCATTTATTGACTGATCTGGGGAGATGGATTCCAGTTTCTGTGACAGATTATAAATAATCTCTGATGCCTTTGTTATATTAGCTTTTGGTTGAATGTACTGTCGTAGTAAATATATAATGTTATAGCTTGGTCTGACTAAAATCTTGTGCATGACCCATTTTGTGTTGGGCGTTTGTTTTCAATCAATGCTGTTCCTATCCTATAACAATGGACAAAAGAGTCCTATCTTGTCAGCCTTGTCAGCAGGTGGCCAAGGACAACACCCACGCCATAGGTCTCTCAGTTCTTCCAACTCACGAGTTCTTGCTCTGAGGACACACACACACACACACACACATCATCACTGATAACACACACACACACACACATCATCACTGTTAAACACACACACACACACACATCATCACTGTTAAACACACACACACACACACACAAAAATCCCCTCTCTTTAGGCTGAACATTTGAAGACAGAGAACCCGACTCAGAGCCAATGCAACAGTGGAGGGGACCTCGCCCAACTCATCAGGACCAATCAGAAGATCAGAACTACTAGATTCAACCTACATCATTTATTGTATAAAATGTCAGCACACAATGTTTTCGGGGCTCTCTTCAGATAGCTCCCTAAGAGTTTGACGAACGAGTCCGTGCACGCGATTCCAGATATCTTTACCTCTGAATAAACTGCCTTTATTATACCATATCCACCCTGTCCAAAGTCTCTACTTGGTCTCAGTTCTCCAGTAAACTTGTGATTATCAACAGTACACAACGGTAACAAACAATTGGGGGAACTCACGGGGCAGATAGTAAGGTCGCAGTGACACAGAAAGCAGTTCAATGTCGGGGCTCGGGGGTACAGAGTCGCTCTCTTACCAGGATCGATTTTCCCTGTGACTGTCAGATCGAGGTCCGCTCCGACCAGGGTGAAGCCGGCCGGCTCCACTTCTCTGTCCGGGACTCTGTCATCCAGCCAAGTCTCCCAGCTGTATTGGATTCCGCTGCCAGCAACGTTTTCATTATTTAGTCCGTTCGTAGCGGGTATGTACACGATCAACAAGATCAGTCCAAAACCCACCACTGGAAATCCATGGTTGGCAGAATGTTTGTAAACTAAGTGTACAAATTAAAAACATAAAATAACGCCACTAAGTGTACAAATTAAAAACATAAAATAACGCCACATTGCAGGTCGCAACAGAGACGCTGCTAGCCGCTATTTGCTTAGTTACGTTCATGGTTACGTCACGTATGACGAAAGCGCGTAAGTGCAAGCCCACAGACACCCATAGAGAATGTATTGAAAGCTTTGAAATTTGAAAAAAATAGATTTTACATGACAGGCTATGAGAGACTTCTGGGCGATTTTCAACCTGACTGAAATCGCCCAAAAACGGGCGGGGCCATTTGAAGCACGACTTTAGCCTGATTTGACATTTAGTGGCAGTCAGATCAGATTACAACACTGATAACTACTGTTGCCGTGATATAATTGATTAGAAAAAAAATCCCTTCCTTTTCCCGTTTGGCAGTGCGTCGCCCATATCGCCCTATTGAACAGGCCGTCCCTGCTTGTAACTCTTTTGCAGTAAAACCTAGTACACCCAAGCACTTCTCTGCAGCTGCCACCACAACATCTACAGTGCATTCGGAAAGTATTCAGACCCCTTGGCTTTTTTCACATTTTGTTATGTTACAACCTTATTCTAAAATGGATTAAATATGTTTTCCCTCATCAACGTACACACAATACTCCATAATGACAAAGCAAAAACAGTTTGAGAAATTTTTGCAAATGTATTATAAATAAATAAAACTGAATACCTTCTTTACATAAGTATTCAGACCCTTTGCTATGAGACTCGAAATTGAGCTCGGGTGCATCCTGTTTCCATTGATCATCCTTGAGATGTTTCTACAACTTGATTGGAGTCCACCTGTGGTAAACTCAATTGATTGGACATGATTTGGAAAGGCACACACCTGTCTATATAAGGTCCCACAGTTGACAGTGCATGTCAAAGCAAAACCAAGCCATGAGTCGAAGGAATTGTCCGTAGAGCTCCGAGACAGGATTGTGTCCAAGAAAAGTCTCTGAATGTCCTTGAGCGGCCCAGCCAGATCCTGGACTTGAACCCGATTGAACATATCTGGAGAGACCTGAAAATAGCTGTGCAGCGACGCTCCCCATCCAACCTGACAGAGCTTGAGAGGATCTGCAGAGAAGAATGGGAGAAACTTCCCAAATACAGGTGTGCCAAGCTTGTAGCGTCATACCCAAGAAGACTCGAGGCTGTAATCGCTGCCAAAGGTGCTTCAACAAAGTACTGAGTAAAGGGTCTGAATACTTATGTAAATGTGATATTTCTGATTTGTTTTATTTTATACATTTGCTAAAATTTCTAAAAGCCTGTTTTTGCTTTGTCATTATGGGGTATTGTGTGTAGATTGATGAGAACAAAAAAAACAATTTCATCAATTTTAGAATAAGGCTGTAACGTAACTAAATGTGAAAAAATCAAGGTGTCTGAATAATTCCCGAATGCACTGTATTTTCTGTGATTTACATTCCATTTCTGCGCTACAGTTGATAACCATGGCAATGAATGCTAAGAAGCCAACCTTACTGAAGCACAAATTCGTATCACTCTGTATTGGCCTATGCCTACTCACCCTTGACGCATCATCCTCTACTCTCTTCACTGCCTCAGCATACAGCACCTTCTGTTCTACTCGAACCCTGGCAACCTCAACCGGTCTCTAGCACCGGGCACTTCTGATCCCCAGCAACATGGGCAACCCCACAATTGACACACCGTTTTTTCCACTGATACTACACATGCCTTTGTCCCATGCCCTCCTGCACATTTCTCACATCTCAGAATCTCCCTCCTACACACTGCTACAACATGACCATAAGCTTGGCATCTGAAACACAAAAGCGCTCACGGGATAACTGACATATCCTAACATAACTTTGTCAGGTGAAGACTGCTTCAAAACTAAAAAGGAAACAGGAGATAATGCAGCTGTTGAGAACCAAGGGATAACAATTCTAAGGACAAGCGCATATTTGTCTTCAATTACTATACTGCAGAGCTGTTGCGGAAAAAAAGATTAAGAAGGGATCAAGAGAGAATTGGCAGCCAAAAACATCATATACTCTCTGATGTTCCCTGCGAAGCTACGCATCACCCATGAGAGCAAGACCCACATCTTTGATTCAGTGCCTGATGCAAAGTCATTCCTGCGCTCGATTCGGATTACACCACCTTCCAGACCTGAGGACAGGGTCTGAAACAATATGCCAACTATGTGGCAAACTGTTGGGTCCAGAAGGAGTGAGAGACAGGACTCGAAGTAGCCCAACTCTACCACAGAACATTTTCCAGTCCACATTGAGTGCATGGAATATTTCATCCATGCCGGTCTGTTTACGGAATGATAAATATTAGGTCAGATATACTATAATATAGGCCAAAATATCACTTTGTTTCCACAATTGCCCCATTACTGAGTCTTGTGAGGATCCCCTCGTTTAAAGAACACAACACCACCAAGATCTGCCACCCAGGAATGCGTCATTCTTCTGTG